CCATTACAAATGATATTAGAGCCAGACACCAGGCGGTGTGTCAGCGAGGACGCTGGGCCCCAAGGGAGGTGTATTGCGAGATCCCACATTAGTTGGAGAGGGGAACGAAACATTTCTTATAACAGTGTGGAAACCTCTCCCTAGCAGAGACGTTTTAAAACCTTGAGAGAAAGCTCAAAGAGGACAAAATTTGTTAACGATAGGCTTGGACCATTACATTACTAGTCATAGTCATGGTCTGGTTGAAAAAAACATGTAAATATATTGTCATCGAATGGTGAGGATACTGAATGGAATACTAATTATAATAAATTAACGTGCAGAGCAGTAAGAATATGTACACAAGACTTGTTAAGCCCTGGAAATCTCTTTAGCAATGTCTGGTAAATAAAGCGGAGAAAACTTATAGAACTCTATTTGGCTGTTTAAACTAAACAAAGCTCAAATAAAACTCCAGATGGTATCTTAAGCTCAATCCTCATGGTTTAAGATATTGCTTTTGGTCGAAATAGTAAAGAACTACTTGAAGTCAAGCAGATAAGATTAAATGGAAGAGCATACTCGATGAGATTGTTAAAAACTAAGGATTATGCAATTAGCGAAGCCATATGAAAAGCTGTTTTCATTATCAAAACAATGCAACGGATAACATACCCACAAATGGCGTGTCCAACTTCATGATATGCTACAAGACTTTTGCTCTTCCCATCGGTCATTACTGTTCCTTCCATACCAGCTACAATCCGATCAATTGAATCGTCGATCTCTTTCGATGAAATAGCAATCTTACCACGCCGTCCAGCCAATATGGCAGCTTCATTCAAGAGGTTTGCAAGATCAGCTCCACTAAAACCAGGAGTTCTCATGGCTATAACATCGAGAGAAACATCAGAATCAAACTTCTTGTTACTAGCATGAACCTTTAAGATTTCTGTCCTCCCCTTTACGTCAGGGACATCAACACTGACCTGTAGGCATTAGAGTACCATACTCAAAAATCTTGTCTTCTAATAAGTATTAACTCACTCAAACACAATCTTTAATGTTAGAAATTTTCCTACAGCGAATGGAATGATTCTCACCTGTCTATCGAAACGACCAGGCCTCAATAAAGCAGAGTCAAGAATGTCTGCCCTGTTCGTGGCAGCAATGACAATAATGCCAGTGTTTCCCTCAAAACCATCCATTTCAGTTAGAAGCTGGTTAAGTGTTTGTTCTCGTTCGTCATTCCCACCACCAATTCCGGTGCCTCTTTGACGTCCAACAGCGTCGATTTCATCGACAAACACAATGCAAGGTGCATTTTCCTTGGCCTTCTTGAAGAGATCCCTAACTCGAGAAGCACCAATACCAACAAACATCTCAACAAACTCAGACCCTGAAATAGAAAAAAATGGGACTCCTGCTTCACCAGCAATGGCCTTGGCTAGCAAAGTCTTCCCAGTTCCTGGAGGACCAACGAGAAGAACACCTTTAGGAATGCGAGCTCCAACAGCAGTGAACCTCTCAGGCTTCTTAAGGAACTCCACCACCTCCATGAAATCCTGCTTGGCTTCATCGACTCCAGCAACGTCATCAAAGGTCACACCAGTGTTTGGCTCCATTTGGAACTTTGCCTTAGATTGACCAAATCCTAGAGGGAATCCAGGCCCTCCGGGGCCACCCATCCCTCCAGATGAACGCCTTGATAGTAGGAATAGCCCTCCAATTAAAATTAGGGGGAAGGCTAGGTTCCCAATTAAGTTGAATAACAGAGAGCCAGAATCCTCTTGAGCATTGTGTGCAGCAAAGTCAATGTTTTTCTCCCTAAACTTCTGAAGAAGCTCCTGGCTAAGTCCTGGAAGCTGTACACGAACACGCTGCACCCGGTTACCCAATTCAGGGGAGACAGCCTCCACAATTGCTATAGTTCCATTGTCAAATAGATCTACTTTCTTCACTCTATCCTTGTCCAGATACTCCAAAAACCTAGAATAAGACATCCTAGATGAAGATACCCCTTGTTCTTCAGCATTGGCCCTCTCATTTCCCAATAAAGCGGATGTACCAAGTCCAACATTTCCAAACAATAACTTAAGGAAGTCTCTTCTTCCATCATTCTGCCATGGTTCCACAGATGCTTTTACCACACCGGCTTTAGCCCTTTTACCCAATGATTGGAGGCTTGTAGAAGGGACTAATCGTCTGCTATATAAAAACTTGAGTAGATTTGATTTGGAACAGTGGGTGGACGTGCCGTTTCCCACAAGACATGCAGATGCAGAAGAGGCAGCCATATCTAAGGATAGAAAAAAGGAAGCATCAAACTAAAAAACCAAAATAAAGATGGTTGATTAGAACTTCACATACTCTAGCTCGTGCTATTTCCTCACACTGAGCCATTCACATTTCACAATAAATGAATTCATCATAAAATCGCCTCTCCAGTGCTAATTATCAAATCCAAAAACGAAGGTAGAAGCTTAGCTCATGAAATATGATGATGCAAATTTCACAGAACTCAAAACAGCAAAAAAGCAACTGTAAAATCAAAAGAATAACATAGAACTCAACACTTCAAACACGGTACCGAGACCTAGCAACCATAACTTCGAGTTCGAATCTCAAACACTCAAAAGTAATTAGTATTTCGACCAATACAACGATTTCAAGGTGAATGCCAGAAAATTGAGTCCAAAAATTACTTCAGCCACTGCTAACCACTAACTAGGCGTCGAAAATGATTACACAAGCTTTCACCTCGAGAGAAAACACGGCAAAACCATTGAAGGACGAAACTAAAGAGGAGAAGCGTACCTTACTACCCTTCACAGAGCAGGATTTTGGGGGAAATGGATAATAGAGAAGTAATATGAGTGATTCAATTTAATGGCCGCCTCTGAGATCGGAGGGCGGAGGCCAGAGAGGATTCTACGACTGGGATCCGACGGAAGATGACGCCGGAGTTCTTAAAGAGAACGGATGTGGTTTGAGAAATGGATACGTGTTCCTCTCTTCGTGGTTGGGCTGTTTCCATTCACTTCCCGATAATTTCTTTTTATTTTTTATTTTTTTATTTTTTAACGCTCAAATTAAATTTAAAGTTTTTATTTATTTAGTCATTTAAAATTACAAGTTACAAATTTAGTCGTTTAGTCCCACATAGAAATTTCTGTGTCAATCATAGTCCCGAAGCATGGAGGAATTTATCGACGTGATACTTGCAACAGATTTCAATATGATGAACTGTATAAGTTGTGCATTCTCGAGATTAATTCGGATCCTCGTGAAGATTTAAAGTCAAATTTGACAGGTCTTTTCATTATATTCGTGAATCATAGCATCAGCAGTTTGAGCGACAACATTGAATTCCTTCAAGGAGAGATAAAGTAAGGAAATCTAAATGGTGAGACAAAATTGATGTTCAACAAGTGTTTGAAAAATTTTGAAAGAGGAAATGATGATTTGCAAGAGACAATGCATATACTATTTACCCAAACGGGGATAGACGTATATAATTTGTCAATCATCAATATTCCTAATTATGTACAGGACTGCGTCGATGATTTTGAAGGTGACCCTATCCCACCTGAGTGGCTCTCTCGTTACGCATGTATTGGTTGATTACTATTCATATTCTTGTTCAGAATAAACTTATCTTCTTGAATATTGTAGATATCTTCGTTATAATTCTTAGTCAACCATAACAAATGTGTAATCAAATTCAACTCAGAACGTTTGGTTGAATGGATCATGTCTAAGAACTAGGTCATCGGCCTAAAACTTGAAAAGATTTAGGCTCGAGTAGTGTCTAAAATTGGGGTTGGAGCGGTATATTTTTGGGTCGGTCTGACTTCATAATGAAGATATCATATTAGATGATCAACTACTGTAAGGTTACTCTTTTACTTATTTTAATTAGAAAGAGAATAATAAAAATAAAATTAATTTTAAGTAAATTTCTAAACCAATATGAAAATTGGATGAACTAAAATGAGATAGGAGTAAAATGCGGAAGCGACAAACTTTTATTTTGAATAAGAATAGAAGTAAAAATTAAGGGGTACACGAGGCTTCACGATTACAAGTAATGAGATTAGACGTTTCTACCATGAGAGCCACTAAATTCCATGAAGTGTTGTAACGAGACTGCCACTCTGGTGGAATAGGTTCTCCATCAAAATCATCCACACATGTGCTTATACGTTTATCAACCTCCATCGTCGGTAATTCATAAACGTTTGTACCTGGTTGGGTCAATAATATGTGCATTGACTCTTGCAAATTGCTATATCCCATTCCAAAAGCTTTCAAACACGTGTTATACATCAATTTTGTTTCAGCATTTAGCTTTCGTGACTGTATCTCTCTTTGAAGGAATACAATGTTGTCATTGAAATTGCTCATGGTATGATTCACGAATATAATTAGAAAACCTGTCAAATTTGACTTCAAATCTTCACGAGGATCTGAATCAATCTCGGGAATGCAAACTTTATACAATTCATCGTATTGAAATTTGTTGCAAGTATCATGGACAAAATTACCGTTGCTGCTTCTATTCTCTTCTGCCATGGCAAACATAGAGGGGTCGAAAATGGACAGAAAAAGAAGGGTAAAAACACCCAGAAGTCGGGAGGAAGAAGACATGTTCTTCATCTTTACAATAATCATGGTTAGATATAGTTGGAATTTATAGAAGAAACTAATGAATTCTTAAAATTTATTTGGAAATTAGTTAATGTACATTTAGTTCCTTCCATGTATAATGTCAAACGGAAATTTGAATAAATTCAAAAAATTGACTCTTATTATTTCCATATATCAATAATAGCCATAGATATTTTCTTTAATTAAATAATAACTAATACCAATTTATATATGATACAGTTGGTTTGGTTAAATTGTGTAGTCACAGTACACATTATTTTTAGCCCACTTATGTTCAAAGTGTACGTTATAGTCTACTGGTTAGATCAATTAAGAGTTTTGTATTGATAAAAACATACCCAACCAAGCCAATTTCATTAACCATCAAGTCCAGTTCTAAAGGGTACGTGTGTTTCGGGCAACCAATCTGACCCATTGATAAAATTTTCTACGGTAAAGTTTTTCGCTAATTGTTTATCGAGTACATGAAAACTTGTCCAATTAACTCGATGTGTTGTGTCAGCACCAGGACCTCGATTATTGAACTCAGCATAAAAGAGGTTGTTTATTGGTACTCCTTCCCACAATACCCATCCTTCTGGTTGCACGTTGTCATCCAAAAATGACTCCATGAACACAACAGTTGAATACTGTCTCCATGGTCGACCAAGAAAGATTTTGACATCAACCTTTCTGGAAGCTATATCCGGAGAAACTGTGACGGTACAGTTCTGGAAGGAGAAGCCGCTTTTCACCCAGGATTGTTCCTTGGACTGTGCGGTGACTGTGATTTCATTGCTCTGTAACCGAGCATATATGTTACAGTCTTGAAACATAGCAAGTCCATTTCCAAAAATAAAATCTACTGTTCCGTAGATGTCACACTCCCTAAAGAATTGGTATGCTCCCTTTAAATATAGGGTATCTTGAAAACTCAAGAATCTACACTTGTAGTAAGTGGTGAATTTCGAGTGGTTAAGGACAGCAACTGCTTGGCCGTTTTGATGTTCGGCAGAATTCTCAAAGCTTAAATGTTGGGCCATATAATGGTCACCATTCACCACTGCATCAAATAAAAATAAAGAAATTAGTTAAATATTATTATATAAACGACTATATAAAAGAAAGCCTAATTTTAAAGCAAAAATGAATTGTGACATGGGTTCAAAGTTAAATATTAACATCCTACCCATTTGAGAGGTAAAATTTATTTTGCTCAAATAAATTAATACATTAAAGTATAGAACACGAGTGATTACCTAAGGTTGCAGAGTCAGTAGTCGAGAATCCAGTACCGTGGCTTCTATTGTCGACGATAATGGTTGTGAGTGCATTATCGCCAATCAAAGCAATAAATTTCTTGTTCGGTGGAATTTCAAGATGTCCACGGTAAGTGCCAGGGGATACACGAATGTAAAATCGTGTATTGGAGTTGTCCGGAGCGGCTGCTATTGCTTCACTAATACTTTTAAAATCCCCCGATCCGTCTAATGATACAACCGCATTAAAACGGATGTGATCAACGTGTGCCAAAATGTTGGCGAAGAAGAAAAATAAGCATGCAGCAAAGGATAGAAATGCCATGTTCAAAGTAGAAGAAGAAGAAAACAAAGAGCAAGCAAATTGAGAGAACAAAGGAGAGTTGTATGAACTCAAAAAGAACAAGAAAAAGCTTCGTAAATTTGTGTGTTTTTCACAGTCTCATGGAACCAGCATTTTATAGAGTGAGCTGTGATTAATAATGTAACTGTGGAGCTAATCTCTTGTGGTTAGTGTATTAATGGTCAATTAACATCAATTTCAAGTGGTCTTATTTAGCAGTTGACAACGTCAGTGTAAATGAGTAAGTGAGGAAAGCTGATATTCCATAAACAAGTTGATGAAGTAGGAGAGAATCAGAAGTGAATCATAGAGTATATGAAAATGGTAAGTTCTTACATAAACAGCCTGCACAACATTCTAAATCCAGCGCCGATCATTTTCAGCGTGCTTATGTAATGTTTTCAAACAATATTTGACCGTTTTGGTTAGGATTCCGGTGAATGGGCGATGATCATGGCCGGAGGGGTTCTGAAACTGCTGTCTTGAACTTGTTGGGTGAGTGGCGGCGGCAAAGGGTAGCATGCCAGCTTGGTCGGGGGAGTGGTGTGTCTGTGTGGATGAACAAAGACAAAAGTGATAATCATTGGTGGGTGAATCCTAAGGTCTCATTTAGAATATTGTGCTGTTATGAACTTTCCATTTCCATTTCCATCGGCAGAAGAGTTGATATAATAAAAGAATATGAAAAAGGATGGTTTTTGGCCTAAACATTGTAAGGAGTGTTCTAAATAAATCCTCTCATTAATGAAAGGAATAATATTGTTTTCTTTTAAGACACCTCTCCGCGTTTATTTATTCATTTTCTCCTATTTTTTTATTTATTTTTTCTTTTAATTTTTTATAGTTTTCCATCCCTATCGTGTCTTTTTTATTAGGATATCCTTACTTTTTATCTTTTTGAAATCCAACAGACTCTTATCATTCATTTTTACTTAATAAATGATAATATCTCACTCTAAGAATTAGGGTTTGAATATTTGATTTTAGTTCATTCCTACTGAGTATTAATCTTTTATTATAATTGTCATTGTCACAAACCATGTGCATTTCATTAATTTAAAAGTTTAAAAAAAAAACTAAATTTGTAATTACTAACGTGGTATTAAAAATAAATTGTATAAATCTTTTTATTATTATTATTATTTATGACAATCCATACTTTCAGATAGTTATGTTGTATATAACGAAAGAAAAAAAATATTCGATTTTGTTTTATAATTCATTCAAAATATATTTATGAAAAATAATTTTTATGATAAAATTTGAAAGAAAAACGTAACAAAGGGTGGAAACTTCAACATTATTGGCGACAATATATTTTTTTTCTTTTCTTATGTACAACTTATTTTTTTTTGTATCGGTAATTATGAATTGTCATGAACTTAATTGAACTATGAGTTTAATATCGCCACAAAAAATACCTCTATGTTGATAGCTCAACAAATATAACCACAGAAAAAATTACATACATTTATATCGTTTATATATATTTAAAATCAATAATTACTTTAACAAGTGGGTGGAGATGGAAGAGTTTTGGTGTCACATTGTATTTGTTGGGTGACACATTGGTGAGAGATTTTGTAGTGTGATAGCGAGACATTCACTTGTAACACTTGGTTTATTAGTGATTGATTGTTACCCGTGGATGTAGGGGAACTTTTTCTCTCCAAACCAGGTAAATATCTTGGTGTCTCTTTGTGTGATTCTGTTCGTTGGTGTTGTGAGTATATTCGTTCCGCTTCCGGCGCACAACAATATTATCCTTTACTAAGTAAAAGCTAATAACGAGAGTTAATTGAGTTTCATAAAATAGTCAAAAGATGAAAAGTAAGTCGATCTCATTGAAGAAGACCAGAGACAGGGATGGAAAACTATAAACAAACAAAAAGAAAATAAATAAAAAAAAATAGGAGAGAGTAAATAAATAAACGCGTAGAGGTGGTCTAAAAGAAAACAATATTCATCTCTTCATTAATGAGATGATGCATTTAGAATAATGTTTTATAGAGTGTTGATGCCAAAAAAACTTCTATTTCCTATAGTCTATGAGTTGATCCTCCCCTCTCCTACTTACTTTATTATATCAACTCTTCTGCAGATGGAAATGGAAATGGAAAGATTATAGCAGAAGAATATTCTAAATGAGACCTTAGGATTCACCCACCAATCATCATCACTTTTGTCCTTTGCTTTCTTCATACACCACACGCTCCGTCCACACATTGCCGCCGACCAAGCTGACATGCTACACATCGCCGCCGCCACTCACCCAACCATCGCCCACACCCAACAAGTTCAAGACAGCAGTTTCAGAACCCCTCCGGCCATGATCATCGGCCATTCACCGGAATCCTAACCAAAACGGTCAAATATTGTTTGAAAACATTACATAAGCACGCTGAAAATGATCGGCGCTGGATTTAGAATGTTGTGCAGGCTGTTTATGTAAGAACTTACCATTTTCATATACTCTATGATTCACTTCTGATTCTCTCCTACTTCATCAACTTGTTTATGGAATATCAGCTTTCCTCACTTACTCATTTACACTGACGTTGTCAACTGCTAAATAAGACCACTTGAAATTGATGTTAATTGACCATTAATACACTAACCACAAGAGATTAGCTCCACAGTTACATTATTAATCACAGCTCCCTCTATAAAATGCTGGTTCCATGAGACTGTGAAAAACACACAAATTTACGAAGCTTTTTCTTGTTCTTTTTGAGTTCATACAACTCTCCTTTGTTCTCTCAATTTGCTTGCTCTTTGTTTTCTTCTTCTCCTACTTTGAACATGGCATTTCTATCCTTTGCTGCGTGTTTATTTTTCTTCTTCGCCAACGTTTTGGCACTCATTGATCCAACCCGTTTTAATGCAGTCGTATCATTAGACGGATCGGGGGATTTTAAAAGTATCAGTGAAGCTATAGCAGCCGCTCCGAACAACTCCAATACACGATTTTACATTCGTGTAACCCCTGGTACTTACCGTGGACATCTTGAAATTCTACCGAACAAGAAATTTATTGCTTTGATTGGCGATAATGCACTCACTGTTGGAAAGAGGGATAGTGAAAGAGATAGGAATAGATGAGAATAGATAGAAGCTGCAGTGCTTTATTAATGTCTACGGACTTGATGCTTAGAGGCTTACACAATTCCAGTATTTATAGCTTATACACTGGACCAGAAATAGTAAATCATCTAAATCTAGAAAGAATTTAAATCTACTAACAATCTCCTAAAAATCTCATAGTTTGAATATTTGAATCATATCTCTACTACTCTGAATCATATCTTCATTTTGAATCATATCTCAACACTCCCCCTTGATTCAAAGTTGCAAATGCCAAGTAATCGTCTGAAGTAGCAAAACTTTTCTTTTGACAAAGCCTTGGTAAGTATGTCTGCTAGCTGTTGATCGGTGTTACAATATTCCAAGACAATTTCTTCGTCTGCAACAAGATCACGAATATAGTGATGTCGAAGTTCAATATGTTTTGTTCTACTGTGAAAGGCTGGGTTCTTTGTCATAGAAATAGTTGCTTTATTATCACAAAATATCTTTGTTGCCCCTTTTTGCTCTTGTTGAAGGTCAGCTAACATTCTTCTTAGCCAAATGGCTTGACACGCTGCTGAAGTTGCTGCAACATATTCTGCTTCTGATGTTGACAACGCCACTGTTGCTTGTTTCTTTGAGCTCCAAGTGATCGCTCCTGACCCTAAAGTGAAAACATTGGCTGAAATGCTTCGTCTATCATCTAATGATCCTGCCCAATCACTATCAGTGAATCCATATAGTTTGAAATTAGAGGATTTAGAATACCAAATTCCATACTCCATAGTTCCGGCAATGTAACGTAAGACTCTTTTTGCTGCTCCATAATGAACCTTTGAAGGATGTTGCATAAACTTAGAAATAATACCAACAGGAAATGCAATGTCGGGTCGTGTGTGAGTTAAGTAAATCAGTCCGCCAACCAAGCTCCTGAACCTTCTAGCATCTGTCATTTCTGCTCCATCATCATGTTGTAATTTCTCATTAATATTCATAGGTGTAGCTGCAGGCTTACAATTAAGCATACCAAATTTACTCATAATATCTTTGGCATATTTTCTTTGTGAAATAAAAATTCCATCTTCAACTTGATATACTTCAAGACCAAGAAAATAGTGCAATAGACCCATATCTGACATCTCAAATTCACTCATCATTTGAGACTTAAATTTATCCAAAAGAGAGTTAGAAGAGCTAGTGTAAATAATATCGTCAACATAGAGGCAAATAATGATGAAATCACTTTTACCTTCCTTCTTCACATATAAAGTAGGCTCATTCTCACTTCTCATGTATCCTTTCTTTTGAAAATACCCATCAATCTTGCTGTACCAAGCTCGAGGGGCCTGCTTTAATCCGTATAGTGCCTTTCTCAACTTGTATACCTTTGTTTCTTTGTCCTTCTTTATGAATCCTTCTGGTTGTGCTACATAAACCTCTTCTTGTAAATCTCCGTTAAGAAATGCTGACTTAACATCAAACTGATAAACTGGCCACCGCAATTCTGCTGCTAATGCTAGAATAGTTCTTACAGTTTCAAAACGAGCTACTGGAGAAAAAGTTTCTTCAAAATCTATACCTTGTTGTTGTGCATACCCTTTTGCTACAAGACGGGCCTTATGCTTTTGTATTTCCAAGTTGCACCTTAATCTTTTGCGTCTCATCAAGCTCTTTGAATAAGGATTTGGTGCCTGTCATATGGTTCGAGCATCCGCTATCAACAAACCATAAGCTACCTTTTTCCGGATTATTTGGTGCCTGTCATATGGTTCGAGCATCCGCTATCAACAAACCATAAGCTACCTTTTTCCGGATTAGTATCCATGCACGCCACAAACAACTTATCTTCTTCTTCTTCATTCTCTGCTACCTTTTTCCGGATTAGTATCCATGCACGCCACAAACAACTTATCTTCTTCTTCTTCATTCTCTGCTTCAAAATTCATTTGTTGATTTTTATACCAACAATAACAACTTATCTTCTTCTTCTTCATTCTCTGCTTCAAAATTCATTTGTTGATTTTTATACCAACAATTAGATTTTGTGTGACCATACCTTCTACAATGGTAACATTGTATGACATTCCTTTGTTCATTGAATTGTCTCTGTCCACCACTTCTCCAACTGTTATCACGACCACCATGGAAGTTGCGAAATCCTCCTCTTCCATGACTTCTATCTGCTAAATGACTATTTTCTCTTCCGTTGTTGGTTGTCTCCTTCACTTGTAGTGCCTTTTCTTCGTTCCTTTCTGATGCTCTGTTGATTCTTGCCTCATGAGCCTGAAGCGAGCCCATCAGTTCATCAACGGAGAGTATGGATAGATCCTTAGCTTCTTCTATGGCGGCCACACATGGTCAAACTTTGGAGTCAAGCTTCTCAACACCTTTGCAACAATTGTTTCGTTTGAAATTTTCTCTCCATAGGTACGCATCTGACTGACTATTGCCATTGATCTTGACAAAAAATCAGCAATTGATTCGCCATTCGTCATGAGTAGAGTTTCAAAATCACGTCTTAGAGATTGCAATTTCACTGTCATGACCTTTGAGTCTCCTAGAAACTCCTTCTGTAGAATTGACCATGCCTGCTTTGATGTGGTTGCTGCTGCAATTCGTGAAAAAATAGTCTCATGAACTGCTTGCTGAATAATGAATAGAGCCTTGGCATCGTTTTTCTTGGTTTCTCTTAGTCTCTCCTTTTCTTCTATTGTGGGTTCTAATACATCAGCAAACCCGTGCTCCACCAAGTCCCATAGCTCCTGCGATCTGAGCAAGGTCTTCATCTTGATGCTCCACCACTCATATTTCTCACCATTAAAGATTGGTAACAACGGTGCAGAGGAAGAAAAACCAGCTACTGCCATTTTTGTTTTGTGAAAGAAAATAATCACTCGCCCTCGTGTCGAACGAACTTGGCTCTGATACCACAATTGTTGGAAAGAGGGATAGTGAAAGAGATAGGAATAGATGAGAATAGATAGAAGCTGCAGTGCTTTATTAATGTCTACGGACTTGATGCTTAGAGGCTTACACAATTCCAGTATTTATAGCTTATACACTGGACCAGAAATAGTAAATCATCTAAATCTAGAAAGAATTTAAATCTACTAACAATCTCCTAAAAATCTCATAGTTTGAATATTTGAATCATATCTCTACTACTCTGAATCATATCTTCATTTTGAATCATATCTCAACACTCACAACCATTATTGTCGACAATAGAAGTCACGGTACTGGATTCAAGACTTCTGAATCTGCAACCTTAGGTAATTACTCGGGTTTTGTACTTTAGTGTAAGAACTTATTTGTTAATATTTAACTTAAAAAACTTAACCCATGTCACATATAATTTTTCCTTTTTGATTATGCTTTCTTTTACATCTTTGTATGTAAAATAATATGGTTTAAATCCTTATTAATTTGTTTATTCTTATTTGATGTAGTGGTGAAGGGTGACAATTTCATGGCCCAGCATTTAAGTTTTGAGAATTCTGCAGGACCTCAAAACGGCCAAGCAGTTGCTGTCCTTGACTACGCGAAACACACGGTTTATTACGATTGCAGATTTTTAAGTTTTCAAGATACCCTGTATTCAAGGGGAGAATGCCAATTCTTTAGGGAGTGCGACGTCTACGGAACTGTAGACTTCATTTTTGGAGATGGACTTGCTGTGTTTCAAGACTGTAACATATATGCTCGGTTACGGAGCGATGAAATCACAGTCACCGCACAGTCCAAGGAAAAATCAGAATCCCAAAGCGGCTTCTCCTTTCAAAACTGTACTGTCACAGTTTCTCCGAACATAACTTACAGAAAGGCCGAAGTCAAAATTTATCTTGGTCGGCCATGGAGACAGTACTCAACTGTTGTGTTCATGGAGTCATTTTTGGATGACAACGTGCAACCAGCAGGATGGATATTGTGGGAAGGGGTACCGATAAACCACCTCTTTTATGCTGAGTTCAATAATCGAGGTCCTGGTGCTAACACAACACACCGAGTTAATTGGCCAACTTTTCATGGATAAACAATTAGCGAAAAACTTTACCGTAGAAAATTTTATCAACGGGTCAGATTGGTTGCCCGAAACTCGTGTACCCTTTAGAACTGGACTTGATGGTTAATGAAATTGGCTTGGTTTGGTATGTTTTTATCAATACAAAACTCTTAATTGATCTAAATCAGTAGACTATAACGTATACTGTGAACATATGTGGGAAAAAAATAATGCTTACTGTCACTACACAATTTAACCAAACCAACTCTATCATAAATAAATTGGTATTATTTCCATGTTTTGGCCGTAAACCACAAAAAATGTTTTCCAAATTAATTTCTCTCTTTGTTTTAAATATTTTTTTGAACCGATTAAAAAATCAAATTTATATATTTTTATGCAAGTAAGAATGGATATGTTTTCTTTTTCTTTCTTTCCTTAAATAATTAATTATGATTTTGATGTAACATACATTTAAAATATTACAATGATTTTTGTATTCAATTATACAAAAATATTTTTTAATTAAAGAAAATATTTATGGCTACCATATATGGAAAATAATAACAGACAATTTTTTTAATTTATTAAAATTTCCGTTATGAATTGATATATGGAAGGTTTCCTAATTTCCAAGTAAAGTTTAAGAATTCATTACTTTTTCGACTATAAATTTCTACCATTTCTAAATATGATTATTGTGAAAGATGAAGAACATGTCTTCTTCCCTCTCCCTTCTTGGTGTTTTTACCCTTCTTTTGTTATCCATTTTCAATCCCTCTATGTTCGTCTTGGCAAAAGAGAATGGAAGCAACATCGATAAGTTTGTCCAGGATACTTGCAACAGATTTCCAGACAACGAACTGTATAAGCTTTGCATTTCTGAGATTGATTCAGATCTTCGTGAAGATTTGAAGTCAAATTTGACAGGTTTTCTAACTATATTTGTGAATCGTACCATCAACAATTTCAATGACAACCTTGTGTTCCTTCAAAAAGAGATAAAGTCAGGAAAGCTAGATGCTGAAACAAAATTGATGTATAACAAGTGTTCAGAATCTTTTGGAATGGGATACACTGATTTGCAAGAGTCAATGCACATATTATTGACCCAACCAGGTACAAACGTGTATGATTTACCGATTATGAGTGTTGATAAACATGTAGGCGTGTGTTTCGATGATTTCGAAGATGACCCTATTCCACCAGAGTGGACGTCTCGTTACAACCGTTCATGGAATTTAGTGTCTCTCATTTTAGGAACGTCTAATCTCATTAAATGTAATCGTGAAGCTTCATGTATCCCTTGATTATTACTTGTGTTCTTATTCAAAATAAAAGTTTGTGTGATTGAGTGTATATATATATATATATATATATATATATATATAATTTTCTCAATATTTTGAATATCAATTAAAGGTTTTAAGCATTTTATTAATGATTTGATATAAAAATTTCAAAATTAAACATATTTGACGGTAGTAACTGTGACAATTTAAAAAATTTCATTAGCCAGATATAAAACGTGCTAAAAAAACATTATTGATTCTAACAGCCTCTCTTACATCAAACCTTAAAGTTAGCGAATTTTAAAATACATTAAGCAGCCTCTCTTACATCAAACCTTAAAGTTAGCGAATTTTGTCTCTTTTGACATGTTATGCATAGCCAGCAGCCTTACAATTTTAAAATATGTCTACTAAGGAGAAGTTTACATGCATTTGTCAAGAATGTTTTGTTTATTTCTCCAACCGATGTGGAATCTCAAACAGATCATAAAATTTCAAATCGCCATACCATCAACCAGTGAAAAAGAAAATAAGGCAATTGATGCTTCAAATACTTTAATCACTTCAATCAGCTCCAGGTATTTTTTTCGTTGGACTCTAACAAACGATTATGGGACTCTTAACAAAAATGTTCTCTAACTTTTTTTTCTCTCTCTTTGTTTTAAATATTTTTTTGAACCGATTAAGAAATCAAATTTATTATATTTTTTATGTAAGTAAGAATTGATGTGCTTTTTTTTATTTTATTTTTCCTTTCCTCAAATAATTAATTATGATTTGGAGGTAACATGCATTTAAAATATATACAAAAATATTATTTAATTAAAGAAAATATTTATGGCTACCATTGACATATGGAAAAATAATAACCGACCCTTTTTTAATTTATTAAAATTTCCGTTACGAATTGATATATGGAAGGTTATGAATTATTATATGGAAGGAATCCTGTACCTTTAACTAATTTCCAAATAAAGTTTAGGAATTCATTGGTTATAAATTCCTACCATTTCTAAATATGATTATTGTTAAACATGAAGAACATGTCTTCTTCCCTCCGGCTTCTGGCTGTTTTTACCCTTCTTTTGCTATCTATTTTCAACCCCTCTGTGATCGTCATGGCAGAAGAGAGTAGAAGTAGCAACGATAAGTTTGTTCGTGATACTTGCAATAGATTTCAACACGATGAATTGTATAAGCTTTGCTTTTCCGTGATTGATTCAGATCCTCGTGAAGATTTGAAGTCAAATTTGACAGGTTTTCTTATTATATTCGTGAATCATACCATCAGTAATTTCAACGACAACCTTGTTTTCCTTCAAAGAGAGATAAAGTCAGGAAAGCTAGATGCTGAAACAAAATTGATGTATGACACGTGTTCAGAATCTTTTGGAATGGGATACAGTGATTTGCAAGAGTCAATGCACATATTATTGACCCAACCAGGTACAAACGTGTATGAATTACCGACAATGAGTGTTGCTGGCCATATAGGCGTGTGTTTTGATGATTTTGAAGATGACCCTATTCCACCAGAATGGCAGTCTCGTTACAAAAGTTCATGGAATTTATTGGGTCTCACGGTAGAAACGTCTAATCTGATTACGTGTAATCGTGAAGCCTCATGTACCCCTTGATTATTACGTTACCTTTCACAAATAAAACTCCTAAAATTCCTATAATTTTTTTTAAAAAAATTCTTTATTGTACTCTCTTTTTATGGTTTAATTGAGCCCAATTGAAGCAGGCCCAGTGTGTAGACCCAAAGTTGCCTTTAAACTAAGGGCTATTACTGAGATTTGAGACTTTTGCTGGCCACGTGGCCTCTCCATTAGTATCGTATTAAAAATGCTTACCTGAATTGAATCTGCAAAAAAAAGGGCGGCGAAAGGGGTAAGGGTTGGCGCGGAACGATGGCCACTTGTAGCCGTCTGGACCTAACTTGCGCAGCACAATTCTGGAGACGACGCTTGTGACTCCTCTTCCCTCTTCTTACATAAATCTAAAAAGAGTTCTGTTCCAGCTTGGAGATGGAAGTTTTTTTTCGTTTCTCGACAGTGAAGTAAGACTAAGCTTAGGAGCTTATTATCCTAGGTCGGAATAAGTTGATAGGATCCCTTTTTTACGTCGCCTTAAACCTCTCATGTGGCGACATGGGGGCGGAAAAAGGAAAGAGAGGGATGAGATTTCTCTCGCTTTTGGCATAGCAGGCCTCAGTAGAAGCCCTACACGACAAGGCTATTAGCTCAGTGGTAGAGCGCGCCCCTGATAATTGCGTCATCGTACTTAAGATGTGAGGGCTTTCGACTACATGAATAGTTCAATGTGCCACAAACAGTTTTAGTTTTAATTAGAGTTGGAGAAGCTCTTACCATTAAACCTATAAATATTATAAAAGACACAGACGAATACAAAATACATGAGCTTTTACAATCATGAATTTCGTAGTTCTTAATGGACTAAAATACCCTTCGTTTCAAATAACCCTTTTAGTCGTCAAACTATCCTATGCTTCAAAGAAAAGAAAAAAAAAATATATAAAATAGAGTGTAAATAAATAGTCTACAAAATTACTAGAAGCCGAATATATATATATATATATATATATATATATATATATATATATATATATATATATAT